ATCGCCCGCCATTACCCGATGGGCTCGGCCCTCGGCGAGGGAAAAGGGGGCGGCTGGCGAGGGGCCGGGGAGGAGTTCACGCGGCTGGGCCCAGGGCGCTCGGGGCCCGGCCCTTCCGGGGGTCGTTTCATTTTTTATTTATTTTTTTAGACGCCGGATGTCTCGCCGGGGATCGGCGGAAGCGGCGGCGCCGTCTCCTCATCGGGCCGTGCGGCGTGAGGGATGCCGGGGTCCTGAGAGTCGCTCTCAAAGGCCGGGGGATCGGGGCAAAGCGGCGCTTGCGGGGCCGACGATTATTGTTCGATTCGTTGACGCAGCTCGAGTTTCAATTCTTCCTCCCGCTCTTCTCGCTTCTTCATTCGTGCTTTCATTCTCCTCCACTTCATTCATTCCTCTTCTTCACTTCATTCTTCTTCTCTTCATTCTTCTTCTCATTATTCTTCATTCTTCTGCTTTTTCATTCTTCCACTCTTCATTTTTCTTCATTCTTCTTCTCTTCATTCTTCTTCTTCTCATTATTCTTCTATCCTTCATTCGTCTGCTTCTTCATTCTTATTCTCTTCATTCTTATTCTACTCTTCATTCTTCTTCATTCCTCTTCTTCTCTTCATTCGTCTGCTTCTTCATTCTTATTATCTTCATTCTTCTTTTGCTACTCTTAATTATTTTTCATTCGCATTTTCTCCTCCTCTTCCCTCTACTTCATTCTTCTGCTTATTCATTCTTTTTCTCTTCATTCTTCGTTCTTATTCTCATTATTCTTCTATTCTTCGTTCTTCTGATTCTTTATTCTTATTCTCTTCATTCTTCTTCATTATTCCTCTTCTTCTCTTCATTCTTCTTCTATTCTTCATTCTTCTTCCTCTGCTTCTCCTACTCTTCATTCTTCCTCATTCGTGTTTTCATTCTACTCCACTTCATTCATTCCTCTTCTCCTCATTCTTCTTCTCTTCGTTCTTCTTCTCATTATCCTTCATTCTTCTGTTTCTTCATTCTTCCACTCTTCATTCTTCTTCATTCTTCTTCTCTTCATTCTTCTGCTTCTCATTATTCTTCTATCCTTCATTCTTCTGTTTATTCATTCTTCCACTCTTCATTCTTCTTCATTCTTCTTCTATTCATTCTTCTTCTCTTCGGTTTTCTTCTTCCGCTTCTCCTGCTCTTCATTCTTCTTCATTCGTGTTTTTCTTCTCCTCCACTTCATTCATTCCTCTTCTTCTCATTCTTCTTCTCTTCGTTCTTCTTCTCATTATCCTTCTGCTTCTTCATTCTTCCACTCTTCATTTTTCTTCATTCTTATTCTCTTCATTCTTCCTCTCTTCATTCGATTTAAAGCTTTCGTGATGACTTGCAAGGATTCATCTTCTTTGGTTCTTTCGGTAAAGTCGCCACCACGTGGAATGAGAATAAAATAATAAATTGATAAAATAAAATAACACAATAAAATTCTCACGACGTTTCGGCCACAACACAAGCGGCCTTCATCAACGTCGTGAGAATTTAATTGCCTTATTTTATTTTATCAATTTATTATTTTATTCTCATTCTACGTGGTGGTGACTTTACCGAAAGAACCAAAGAAGATCTTCTTCTCTTCGTTCTTCGTTTCTCCTCCTCCTTCTGCCTCACCTCCTCTTCATCTCCTCTTCACCTCCTCTCCATTCTCCAGTCCCCTTCTCTGTGCACGTCGTGTTTGCGGGGACTCTGCAAGCGACTGCAAGAACGCGAGGCGTCCGCGACCTGGCGTGCCGTCCGAGCGCCTCGCGAGCTCGCCCGCCGGGGATTTTGTTTCCGGAGGCCGCCCATCGAACGGATCGACCGGGCGGTCGTGTCGCGAGTTTCACCAGTGCCGGAAATCACCACCACGAGAGTCATCATGACCCCCCTCCCCCCCACGTGTGAGTGAGCGAGTGAGGAGTGGAGTGGAGTGGGGAGCGGGTGGATCCCGATGTCTTGCTCTCAATAGCAAAACAACAACAACAACGACAACAACAACAACGACAACAACAACGACAACAACAACGACAACAACGATGACGACGACAACGGCTTCTCACTCGAGTTTAAATTGCCACTGGAAAAATCCCCGTGCCGGAAGCCGTGACCCGCCCCACTTTCACGCAGGCCAGGCCTCATGGCATCGTCGCGTCGAACCCCCGTTGCAAAGCGTGAGAGAAAAAGCATCGACCTGTTACGCCAGAGGGCTCGGGGCCGCTGCACGCCCAGGTGATGCGCCGACGTCGGTAACATCGGTGCCACGGTGGCTAGATGTTGACTACCTCGCCTGGTGTGTAGGAGGTCACGGGTTCAATCCAGACCCTGACGATGCCTGCTGCTGTATATTTGGAGTTTGTGTCTCTCTCTCATCATCATCATCATCACGGTGGCTAGGAGATGTTGACTACCTCGCCTGGTGTGCAGGAGGTCACGAGTTCAATCCAGACCCTGACGATGCCTGCTGCTGTATATTTGGAGTTTGTGTCTCTCTCTCATCATCATCATCATCACGGTGGCTAGGAGATGTTGACTACCTCGCCTGGTGTGCAGGAGGTCACGAGTTCAATCCCGACCCTGACGACGCCTGCTGCTGTATATTTGGAGTCTGTGTCTCTCATCATCATCATCATCACGGTGGCTACGAGATGTTAATTACCTCGCCTGGTATACAGGAGGTCACGGGTTCAATCCCGACCGTGACGATGCCTGCTGCTGTATATTTGGAGTCTGTGTCTCTCTCTGTCTCATCATCATCACGGTGGCTAGGAGATGTTAACTACCTCGCCTGGTATACAGGAGGTCACGGGTTCAATCCCGACCCTGACGATGCCTGCTGCTGTATATTTGGAGTCTGTGTCTCTCTCTCTCTCATCATCATCACGGTGGCTAGGAGATGTTAACTACCTCGCCTGGTATACAGGTGGTTGTGGGTTCCATCCCGACCCTGACGCCTGCTGCTGTATATTTGGAGTCTGCGTCTCTCTCTCTCATCATCATCACGGTGGCTAGGAGATGTTGACTACCTCGCCTGGTATGCAGGAGATCGTGGGTTCGATCCCGACCCTGACGACGCCTGCTGCTGTATATTCGGAGTTTGCGTGTCTCTCTCATCATCATCATAATCATCACGGTGGCTAGGAGATGTTAACTACCTCGCCTGGTATGCAGGAGATCGTGGGTTCGATCCCGACCCTGACGATGCCTGCTGCTGTATATTCGGAGTTTGCGTGTCTCTCTCATCATCATCATCACGGTGGCTAGGAGATGTTAACTACCTCGCCTGGTATGCAGGAGATCGTGGGTTCGATCCCGACCCTGACGATGCCTGCTGCTGCTGTATATTCGGAGTTTGCGTCTCTCTCTCCCTCTCTCTCTCCATGGTCGCGTGGATATTTTTTCTCCGGTTTCCTCCGGGGTTTTTCCCCTGCACATTTAGTAAACACGCGTTTCGAGTATCTGGCTACTGCTTTAAATGTTCACGTGGTGATGATGATGATGGATAGGCCAACTTCGTTGAGCTATTGTTCGCGAGAGACGCCAGGGTCGCTTCTGTAAAAGAAAACACAGACACAATTTCAACCGAGAAGATGCTTTCAAATTAAGCAATCATTGGAAAGATGTTCTAAATCATACCAAACTAATTTTCAATGGTACGGTATATTTATACAAGTAGTGATATACCAAACTTTCGCAGCAGCTTATTTCCCTTCAAAACAACGTTCGTAATCTCCCCTCCCCCTCCCCCGTGTTAGGCGCTCTATCAGCACTTTACGCTAATTCCTTTGTCAAAGCGTTTGGTTTCCTACCACACAGCTTAAAGGACTCGACCTGGGCTTGACTTTCTCAATTCCAGCGCTGTCTTCGTGACAGCACGTGTCCCTTCACCTGATGAAGGCCACTTGTGTTGCGGCCGAAACGTCGTGATTATTGTTGTTTTATTTTTTTTACCTACTACGTGACTTTACCGAATAGAACCAAAGAGTGTGGATCCTTGCAGTCGCGAAAGCTTCAAATCTTGAAAATAAAAGAATAAAAGGGAGCCACGCAGCTCAGTGGGGCAAAAAAATACGAACTTTCTTTCACTGTCTTATTAATTTAATAGCTAAACCGACGTTGGCTTGCGGCTAAGGAGCGCCGGTCTCACGTCGCCAGCGAACATTCACCGTCCGCCGGGCCCCTACCAACCTCGGGCACCGGTCCGACCTCTGACCCTGGGCCGCCATGCTGCGCCGCCCACACCACAACCCCCAACCCCCGGCCGCCTTGGCCTCGCGGTACACCAATTAGCGCCGTCAGCTGGATGGCCTATCAGTCGGAGACGAGGATGACAGTCGTAAAGCGGCCGAGATCGGTCAGGCCACGTTGTCTCACCGTCTCTGTGGCAATCGTTACCTCATCCCCACCCCCCCACAACCCCCCAACCCCCCAACGCCCGTGGTGTTTGCTCAGAGCTCTTGGCGTTATCTCGAGATTACTTCAGCAAATCCAGAGTCCCCAGGGCTTTAGTCTGCTCGCAGCGATAATTCAGACGCTGATTTAACATCACGGCCATGCGCAGACAAGGGCCCCTTTGAATGTTTATTGGGGCCGTAAAGCCAAGTCGAGTTATTTGCCCGTCTGTCTGACCTTCTACCCATCTCTCGGTCCATGCTGACTCTTGTCTATCCATCCGCGCGTTCGTCCGTCTCGCCGTCTGTGCGCGAATCTGTCCGTTTGTCTTTTCCATGCGTTCACTTACCCATCCATCCAGCAGGCCGTCTGTAAATCCATCCGTCCGTTGTTCTGTAGATAATACTTCCAGCCGTCCGTCAATCTAACCCTCCGTCTGACCAGTCCGTCTAACCCTCTGTCCATCTATCTGTCTGACCCTCCGTCCGTCTGTGCCTCCATCCGTCCATCCGTGGGTCCATCCATCTAACCCTCTGTCCGTCCGTCTAACCCTCCGCCCATCTAAACCCGGTCTGTCCGCCTGCCCTCCCCGTCCGCCCCCCAATGTACACCAGGCCACGTCCAGGCGTGCCGGGCTCTGGTCATCACGGCGATCGTGCTCGGATTCTTCGGCACGCTGCTCGCCTTCCTGGGCATGCGCTGCACCAACATCGTGAGCAGCGACGCCGAGGTGAAGGGTCGCATCGTCTTCTCCGCGGGCATCATCTACATCCTGGAAGGTGAGAGACCGCGCCCGTGGCCGCTGGACAGCGCTTGGCCCCCAAAACAGTCTGTCAAGGCTACATGGAGGAGCTTTACCCGTGCATGCGTGTGTGCGACTCAGCCTCAAATGAGTACCTGGTGCGGTGTGTAAACATCGTCACTGTGGAGACAAAGGCGTGCCGGCCCTCATAGGTGCTCGTTAACAGCGCTTGCCCCAACAATCTCTTAAGGCTACACGGGGGACCTCTGTCTTTTGCGTGTCCGGCAGGGCTGAGCGCCATCATCGCGGTGTCGTGGTACGCGGCGCAGGTGGTTGCGGAATTCTTCGACCCCTTCTACGCCGGCACAAAGTGAGTGCTTGTGCTGACCTCGCAGGAGACCCTGACCCTGACCCTGACACTATCAATCCAGCACACACAGGTCATGACCCTGACCCTGACCCTGACACTAACAATCCAGCACACACAGGTCATGACCCTGACATTATCAATCCAGCACACACAGGTCATGACCCTGACCCTGACCCTGACACTATCAATCCAGCACACACAGGTCCTGACCCTGACACTATCAATCCAGCACACACAGGTCCTGACGCTGACCCTGACCCTGACACTAACAATCCAGCACACACAGGTCCTGACCCTGACACTAACAATCCAGCACACACAGGTCCTGAACCTGACCCTGACACTATCAATCCAGCACACACAGGTCCTGACCCTGACCCTTACACTATCAATCCAGCACACACAGGTCATGACCCTGACCCTGACCCTGACACTAACAATCCAGCACACACAGGTCCTGAACCTGACCCTGACGCTATCAATCCAGCACACACAGGTCCTAACCCTGACACTAACAATCCAGCACACACAGGTCATGACCCTGACCCTGACCCTGACACTATCAATCCAGCAAACACAGGTCCTGACCCTGACACTAACAATCCAGCACACACAGGTCCTGACCCTGACCCTTACACTTTCAATCCAGCACACACAGGTCCTGAACCTGACCCTGGCACTATCAATCCAGCACACACAGGTCCTGACCCTGGCTCTGACACTATCAATCCAGCACACACAGGTCATGACCCTGACCCTGGCACTAACAATCCAGCACACACAGGTCCTGACCCTGACACTATCAATCCAACACACACAGGTCATGACCCTGGCACTATCAATCCAGCACACACAGGTCCTAACCCTGACCATAACCTCAACACTGAGCCTGTGTACGTGTGTGTATGTATGTACACAAGTACCTGTGTGTGTACACAAATACCTGCGCGTGTACACAAGTACCTGTGTGTGTACACACACAGGTACCTGTGTATGTACACAAGTACCTGTGTGTGTGTGTACACACACAGGTACCTGTGTGTGTACACAGGTACCTGTGCGTGTACACAAAGGCAGCAGGGCCGGTGGGCGGGCGTGGTGTTGGCCACCCACCCCCTCGTGTGCAACAGTGTCGGCCGGCCTCCATAGGTGCTACAAATCGCGAACAGCAACTTGCCCCAAAAGTCTGTTGAGGCTATACGTGGGACAAACAAATCTTTGTCTTTTGCCTGCAGGTATGAGTTGGGGCCGGCTCTGTACATGGGCTGGGCCGGCTCGGGTCTGGCCATCTTAGGCGGCGGCTTGCTGTGCTGCGTCTGCTGTACTGGGGCCCGTTCGTCTACGCAGAGGTAACTGGGCTGAGCCTCGATGCCTTGCGTCACGCGAAAGGTCAGAGTTCGGAGCAGAGGTTCCCTTATCAAAACTTTTGCCCTCAAAACGAGGGCCTGGCCTGCTTGACCACATCGTGGCCACTCACGAGGAGAGTCAATGGTGGTCGTCTTCACGGTGAACCATCGCCGGGGCGGTGTGTGTGTGGCTGACGGGATGAGTAAAATAACAATGCTTGTGCATTTCACATGCACGGACCGAGTGACGTGGGAAGGAGGCGTGGTGTCCACGTGTTGGCTTTGCTGCTACACCACGTGTCCATTGTGAAGTCACAACGGTCCATTGTGAGGTCACAGCGGTCGCCCTCCCGTTCGCGTGGTGACTCAATGAGCGTCACTCCGACAGCGACGAGCAATGCTGAGCGGGGGCATCAGCAATTGTTTGGCCTGGAATCGCAGGTCACGTGCACCGGTGGGGTAAAGTGTTGGTACCGCCTCCCCCCCCTCCCCATCCACCCTCCCCCATGCACTCCGCAGAGACCACACGTTCAAGTACTCGGCGGCGCGTGCGGCGACCCCGATCAGCACTGCCACCCCACGGACGATCCTCGACATGGAGGGGCAGACGTACGCCCGGCAGGGCTACGTCTAGCGGCCCGACATGGTGGCTCCCCCAGAAGGCCGCCCCACCCTCCCACCCACCACCAACCCCGTCGTCTGGGAGGCCCTGCACTGGCGACCGGGTCCTCGTGAACTTCTTCCCCCCCCCAAGACTTCCCTCGGTGACGTCCGAGCCTCCAACAGTGCCAGCAGCGCGCAAGGATTCTGGGAGGTTTAACGGTGACCCCGGCCGCCACCGCGTCACGACCCCGGCCGCCACTGGGTCAGGACCCCGGCCGCCACTGGGTCAGGACCCCGGCAGCCACTGGGTCACGACCCCGGCCGCCACTGGGTCACGACCCCGGCCGCCACTGGGTCACGACCCCGGCCGCCACTGGGTCAGGACCCCGGCCGCCACTGGGTCAGGACCCCGGCCGCCACTGCGTCACGACCCCGGCCGCCACTGGGTCAGGACCCCGGCCGCCACTGGGTCAGGACCCCGGCCGCCACTGGGTCACGACCCCGGCCGCCACTGGGTCAGGACCCCGGCCGCCACTGGGTCACGACCCCGGCCGCCACCGGGTCAGGACCCCGGCCGCCACTGGGTCAGGACCATGGCCGCCACCGCGTCACGACGTCAAACCGCGGCCAGGACTTTTACAAGGCCGCCCCTGCTGGGCCCCGACGGCAATATCTTTGCACAAAGTTTTAAATCCCGCCGGTGATGAACAGAGAGTTGGCGGGGGGTGGGGGGGGAGGGGTAGGGGGGAAGGAGGTGGGGAGTCGCAGTAGCACGGGCCGGGTGCACAACGGAGAGACTGTTTCGGATTTCGCATCGTTTGCTCGCGCCCCCCACGAATCGGAGGCGGCTATCGTCGTCTGTTGGCACAAATTTCCGATCGCGGGTGCCGACGTTCTCCGCCGACGTCGTCGTCCTCGTCGCCGCCGCCGCCGCCGCCATCGTGGTTGTCCCGCAAGATGTTTAATCATTGCCGCCCGCGACATAATCAAGGGATGTTGCCGCCGCCGCCGCCGGTGTCACGGTTAGCGGACCGGGCTTGCGATCCACTCACGGGAGCTGGCTACTTTGAGGCCCCCTTGATCAATCACGCATGCTCACACACACACACACACCGATACACATGCAGGCATGCTCGCTGCTGCTGCTGCTTGCTGCTGCTGCTGCTGCTGCGGTGGTGTGATGGTCAACAACGCTGGGAACTCCGGAGATCACCTGGTTCGATCATGTCTCCAAGCAAAGGAAGCCGAAACAATGGCGCAAGCCCCGCAACACCGTCACGGCCTCCGTCCCCACCCGGCGCCGGGGGGTTAAAATGTGGCCACTCCCATCCCTTCCAAGATGCCAAGCCGGCTTGGACGAGTAGGCCACAACGCTCTTAAAAGGGGCTGCTCTGAGCAAGAAATAGCAGAGCTCCGCCTGTATCTTTTAACGCGTTAACCGCCTTCTAATACTTAACGGGGGTTGCGGGGGGTGGTGGTGGTGGTGGTGGTGGGGGGGGGGCGTTAATTCTCGTCGGTATTTTTGTTGGATTTTATCAGGGCCTGGTGTTTACAGAATTTGCGGCCTTCGTCAATGGAATCGCGGTCGCGGCAGTTCGCCTGTGAGAGCAACAAAGGCACACTTACGCTTGTGTGCCAGCGACAAGGCAAGCGCACAAACCTTTCCCGTGCACTCGCGACACACACTCAGGCCCCTGGTTCACAGGCGTGGTTTGGCTCAGATTTGGGCCTGGCTTAAAAGCCACGCCACTTAACCTGAGCGCAGCCTGAGCACGGCGGTTCTCCGCGAGCTCGAGGCCGGGGCCAGGCCACGGATGAGCCGCTCGTTGCGCCTTTGGAAGCAACTGAGCGACTCAAGCCTGAGTTTGGCCGTGCAAGAGGCCTGTCCTGAGCCGGATCGCGTTGGAGGCCAATGCTGAGCCGGGCTGTGTTAGAGGCCAAACCTGGGCTGGGCCATGTTAGAGGCCAAGCCTGAGCCGGGTCATGATAGAGGCCAAGCCTGAGCCGGGTCATGATAGAGGCCAAGCCTGAACTGGGCCATGTTAGAGGCCAAACCTGAGCTGGGTCATGATAGAGGCCAAGCCTGAGCCGGGCTGTGTTAGAGGCCAAGACTGAGTCAGGCTGTGTTAGAGGCCAAGCATGAGTCAGGCCGTATCCATAGTCACGACCCCAAGTCCATCGACTCTCTCTCCCGTGTACAAAACTTCACGAACCTCTCACCGCAACAACAACAAACAAAAAAACGCCACAGAGGCAATCTGGAGTATCGCCGTCAAACTTTGGACTCACACCGAGGCACGTGCCAAGAAACCGCGCCGCCAATTCTCAAATTCCCCACCCCCCCCCCCCCCCCCCCCCCCCCCGTCGGCTCCAAATTGTAGCTGGAAGCAGTGACAAAAAAAACAAATACTCGACACATTCCTTAATAATGCTGCCATTTCAGACAAATGTTTTTTTTTTCACAGCACAAACAACGTAGGCCTGAAGGAGAGCGAGTGGACAATAAGGGTTGAAGACTACACTCCGTGGGATAATGTGCAGTCTCCAACTCATATTATCCACTGCATCCCTCCCGCTCGTTCAGAAATGACTTCACGGGATCTTCAAATGCCCGTTGCTGCGAGTGAAGCGGACGGTGCACGGGTTAGTTGCACTGATTGCTACGGTTGATTCCCGCGTCGCGGCATTAACCAGGGTAGCCTGTCGGATTCAGCCCGGGCACATTCCACAACAACGCGCGTTGTTCTAATGTACTGCTCCCTTGCTTTGTTCCAACGCCGTACGAACTGAAGAGACTCACACATTTGCACGCTTCAATCCAGCAAACCCAGGGTCACGTCCAGTGTGAACCTCCTCTCACCAATGGGGAAGGTTCTCCCAAACCCAATTAGCACCTCATATTCCTGCCAGCACCTCCGGTCTTACATGGTTGGCTACATACGTTGGGAAAGAAGTTATCTCTCTACTGGAGGTCAGATGACTGAAGGAAGGTCCACGTGTGAGCCCACACTGACTGGGCTGGTCCTTCGGACACTTAAGCAGGTCCTGAGTGCCATGATGGCATCCTTATGGCATGAAGTCACACACACGCACGCACACAAGAGACAGAGATTTCCCATGCAGCCTACCAAAAGCTCTTGGAGCAAGTGCTGTGAGCGAGCACCTATGAGGGCCAGCACTGCACGCCTAATAAAGGTGGCGTAGCCATGAATAAAAACTCGACCGCCTTTGCCTCTACATACAAACCCAAGGGGTCAGTCACTCGATCTCCTCTGCTGCCCCCCCAATAACCACATCAACGACCCCGGTGTCTGGAATTCCCTCCCCGTGGTTCAACCCGTTTCCATCCCAAAATGTTTTGTAGCCACATCTCCGCCTCTCCCGGCTCCATTCAGACCGCCAGCTCTCGGATCTCCCGCAAAAAAAAAAAAAACACGGACATCTCCCGGCTGGCCGTCTTCGAACCGTCGCACTGACCGATGGAACAGGAACCGGAACATTCCGTCCGTCCGTCCGTCCGTCGCCGGCGAAGTGTGGCGAGCAGACGGCGCTGTCCGCCCCGGTGTCTCCCACCCCCCGCGCGGGTCCGTCGTCGCGAGTAATTTTTAACCACTTTTGTCGTCGTCGTCGTTAAATATTCGCTTTCCGTTTGTTACTTCTCGCGTTCTCGCCGTCGGTACGGGTCGTCCCGTACGACGTCTTGAGTAAAAGCACTTGTATTTTTGAGCGGGTGGGGGTGGTGGTTTATGTAAATTCGTATCGTCGTTTTTCCCCGTCGTTGTTTGTCGTCGTCGTCGTCGGTTGGTTCTTGAGTGGATTTCGCTGGTGACAGGATCGGCGCGTGTGCGTTTCGTCGCAGTAAACGAGGGGGGAAAGGAGGCGACCGCTTGCCCGTGTGTATCATCCACAGTTGAGTAAAAAAAAAGAATAATAATAATAACCTGCGGTGTAATCGTTTGAATGTGGACCGTGGCGCTGTAACAGGATGAAAGGAATCCGCGGCAAGAATCAATTATGAATTATGGTCGTGTGGAAGGAAGCCAATCAGCGGCAAGTGGAGGCCTGTTATGGGTTTTTCGATTCACAAATCGTCTCTTTAGGTCTGGAAATCATGCGACAAGGGATCACTTTAACGATTTTTTAAATGCGCATTCTAAAATATCACGGCTATGTGTTCGAGCATGGATGGAGCATGGATCAAGCTGTGTACCCTGTGGCAGATCCGGCAATGCGCTGTAACAGGATGAAGTGAATCCATGACAGAATTAATGATGAGTTATGTTAATATTGAAGGAAGCCAATCAACATCAAGGGGGTGGCTTCCTGTGGCGTCGTTCGAACAACAAATTGTTTCATTCGGTGCCAGAAATCGCGCGACTGGGGACCACTCTAACGATTTAAAAATATTTAGGCGTGGATCGAGCATGGATCAAGCACGGATCAAAGTTCGTATCGTTAAAAATCGGTCGATTCCCGTTCCAGTATTCCTTCAGTGGGCAAAGCCACGCCCCATCACTCCATATATGGGCCTAAAAACATCAAACATAATTTATCATTAATTTTATCCTATTACAGTGCTAACGACGCCACGGGATCTTTGGATGTCGAAAACGTTGAAATCCATAATACAGCTTTTTTTGGGGGTTAGATCACGTAAATATACAAATGTGTCATTAAACCCGCCACCACCCGATAAGGCCAATTAGTAAGGTTTGTCACGTAAACAGAACGTGCCAATTCGTTACTAGTACAGCACTAGTGTATAGTGTAGTTTATAGTGTAGTATACTAGTACAGCATTAGTGTATAGTGTAGTATACTCGTATAGCACTCGTGTATAGTGTAGTGTATAGTGTAGTGTACTAGTACAGCACTAGTGTATAGTGTAGTTTATAGTGTAGTATACTAGTACAGCACTAGTGTATAGTGTAGTGTATAGTGTAGTATACTAGTACAGCACTAGTGTATAGTGTAGTGTATAGTGTAGTATACTAGTACAGCACTAGTGTATAGTGTAGTGTATAGTGTAATATACTAGTACAGCACTAGTGTAATAGTGTAGTGTGTAGTGTATAGTGTAGTCTATAGTATAGTGTATAGTGTAGTATACTAGTACAGCACTATACTGGCGTGTTGGACAGCCAAGCCACAACATTTACAATCTGAGTACGACGTTTCGCAAGTAATTAAAACTAGCTTCATCAGGCCACATCCAGATTTGCGGAGAAGAATTGGCTACGTTCTGTTTACGTGACAAACCCCTTACTAATTGGCTGTGTCGGGTGGTGGCCGGTTAAACGACACAACATTTATATATTTACACGATCTAACACCCCCCCCCTCCCCCCAACAAAATCTGGATCAAGGATGACATTGGTCGTGAAAGCCTCCTACGTGTTAAACGTCGAAATCCGCTCCATCACAATGAAGTCGTCGGGCCTGGATGCAAATCGATTTGCCACCACCCCGAAACAAACCGGGTAGGCAATATCCCTCGGACGGGCCCAGGTCGAAACCGCGCAGCGATCGAGTTGGCCGCGTGAGGCCTTGCCTGGCTGTGAGAAGCCTGAGCCAGAACCGTGGCTGGGGCCCACTCGGCCAGATGGCTGATGGGCCCTACGGAAGGCCCCAAGCAAGGCCCCACGCATGAGCCCATGCCGATGGGGCTCGGGCACCTGGGCCCTTACGCAGGTCCCGAGCGCCACAATGGGTGACCTCGT